GTTTATAACTATTAAAACAGATGACCAAAATGTGGACATTTGTTAAAGAAAAGCAAAGAAGCATAAGAAAATGATGGAATTAATGAATTACAAAGAGCAATTTGCTCAAAAACTTTAAAATAATCATACGATATCGATTTTTAAATCATACAATATTAATTTGGTATTTTGTATAACAAAACTAATACAGAGTTGATCCTTGCAAAATTTTATTTATACATTATTATTTATATTTATTACAAATCAATTGAATACCAATAGAATTTTAGATAAAAAATAAATATAAATATTTTAATTAAAATATAAATAACAATATAAATATAATTAATATAATAAATATTCTTTACGTATTGTTCCAAAACTGTAATTACTTTACAACAGTAAAATATTTAACCAGATTAATAAATTTACTCCTTATATCTAACTCGCATAATAAAACAACTTTTGAAAATCATTAAAGCTACAAATTTATACAAATAAAAATTTTAAATATAAAATAAAATATAAATATAATTATTAATATAACAAATATTCCTTGGCGTATTGTTCCAAATCTGTTAAACTCCAAATATACTTCACACCATATTCCTCACAAATTTCATTTACCTCTTGAAACCAAATAAGATCCTCCACATATCTCCGCTTTTTCCATTCATCTAGATCTCCTATATTATTCATTTTAGAATATTTATATCCAATTTCTTGGATATGAAAGTAACTTCGACAGTGAGCCTCTAAGAAGCTCAATATTGTACTCAACCTTCTTTTTTCTTCATTCATATAATAATTAACTTTTAAATTATCATTAATAATATTTTCTTTAATTAAATAATCTTTAAATAATTTATAATTTATAAAAACTTTATATTCTTTAATTTGGAAAGTTATTTTAAATAAATTTAATTGATTTTCAAATTCGATAGATTGTAAGGAGGTTTTGAAAGATTCTTCTTTATAATCGATCGAATTTGACGACCAATTATTCCAAGCATATTCATCATTCCATTTATCATTTCCAATCGATCTTGTGGTTTTGGATTTTTTATTAAATTTTGAAATGAGTTTTTTAAAGAAGGACATTATTAAAAGAATAATTTGAAATTGTTTAAAGATTTACAAATGAAATCCAAATTTTCATTGTCTTTGATCACCACCATTTATAACAAAATTTCAAAGAAACAAATACAAAAACTTGTAA